GTGCAAATTTCCTGTTCAACAAAAAGTGGAAGAATTGTTCGAGTGGTCGTTTGTCAAAAAATGCATGTTCATTTACATATACAATTGCGGTTAAGGTCCAAGCTGCGAGCGAATTTTTTGAAATATGCAAATTTTCAGTCCATTGAAAAATTGGAAGTATTACTCGAAGGGTCATTTTTCAAAGAATCCATGTTCATTTGCATATACAATTGCCGTTCAGGCCCGAGTTGCTAACGATTTTTGGGTTCAGGAACTGCTTGAGGCTGTGGTTGGGCAGCCAGAGGGCCGAGTTTAAAACTTTTATATCGCACGTGCGTAGAGAATATCCCTGCAAAGTTTCAGCTTTCTACTTTGTCTGGTTCGCGAAATCGTTTGCCGCCAACATATTTCTTTGGGGGTCCCGTACGCGGGGTTTAAGCGCGTGTGGGGAAAGATCTTAAAACGGGAGGATGATACTCTGGGTAGGAACATATATTCAAAGTTTCAGCCTCCCAGCTTTCCCGGTTGCTGAGATGAAAGTGTGTGACAAAATGCACTCGCTTTCTGCACATACACACACACACACAGACAGCCTCTCGGCAATATGTGTTTTTGCTGGCTATAGCAGCGCTATAGCGCTGCACACACACACACACACACACACACACACACACACATACACACGCACAGACAGCCTCTCGACAATACGCATAAAAATCATTGACGATGCGCATCAGGGGGTGAGGGCTGTGTGATTATGCGTTTTTGCAGTATTTTGTGCTACATTAGGATCTCTTGGGACCCCAGTGACTGGGATAGGATTTGTGACTTACTGGTCCGCAAGGTTCAGAAAGTTAATTGTACAATTACGTGATACTTGGACAGGAAACATTCCGTTAACATTTCAGCATTCTGGCTTTTCTAGTTCCCGAGTTAACGGCTTTACCGTCAAAACCTTCACGTGCTCGTACGCAAAGCCCCATGTGCATGAAGATTGGTGCCGCAGCTTTGGGTGACACTTGGCCGAGAACCCACTGGAAAAATTTTAGAATCTCTGGTTGACAAACTGAAACACCCGGACAGATGCACACAGACGCATATAACCGCACATACAAACATACACATCATGGCTCGTCACAATATGTGTTTTTATGCGTTTTTGCTGTGCAATGCTACAGCGCTGCTGCCGTGAGCAACCTGGGTTGGAATGCACCAGGCTAGCCGGTGCGATCATGCGTTTTGCACAGTTTCCTGCAGATGTTTAGTGCTGCGTTGGTACCATTTGCGCTCGCATTGGCTTTACTGAGTATCTTTTAAACTGTTGCCTGTATCTACACGGAAGTAGTGAAGTGTTCCTTTGGTAAAGTATAATTTTACACATATGCTTACTTTATGCTCCTGCAATCATTCGTAATCAGGGAATATTCACTTAGAAGTGTAACTTACCATTTCGTCCGGGTAGAGAGATACGAAGATGCCAACAATTTTTGAGCCTGAATTTTGCTGTATCGGTGTGCGGGACCTAGACGTTAATGGAGGGTGATATCGTGCACATAGTGCCGTATGGGATATGCTGATATTACGGAAAAATTGCAACTCTCTTGCCTAACTAGAGAGTAAGAGAGATAAGGATGATGATGATGATAGCATAGCAAATTGAATTCGTCCATGTGCGAGACACATACGTAGCCAGAAACTAATTTCAGGGCTACAGACCCTTACGTAAACAACGAACATACTCAGCAAAAACATGCTACTTCTTGCTCAGCCCGAGTACCAAGTTATTTGGGTGCCAGTGTTGTCTGGGACCAACAATCCATTTACGGTGCATGCCAGAGCTGGGCATGCTCCAGGACTTAAACTGTAGTATTTTATACCGTACACGGCCATAGAATACCCTCGTATAATCTCAGTTTCCTAGCATGTCTGGTTAGCGAAATCGCTTTTTTTTAATTTAGAATATCTGGCATATTGGGACTCGCGACTCAGGTGTATGCCAAAGCTCAGTTTAAGTGTGCTTGTACAATTATGAGAAGTAAATATTCTTGTAAAGCTTGATCGCCCTACTTAACTTAATTCCGGAATTAGCATTTTGCCAACAACAATTTTGTCCGTACCCGAAGTGTATGTCTAATAAAGCTAAATTTGAAATCTTTAGCTCATGCACGTACAGAGAATATCCCTGCAAAATTCCAGCTCTCTATCTTGTCTGATTCCCGAGCTGCCTAATAATATAACGCCTTCATCCCAGCCGTGTCCCTTCTTTCTACATGCTGTGGGAGGTCTAAACACAGCCAAAATGATCCCAAGTGTTAAACTACAGCGTAGGAACCGTCCCTACTCTTAAAAATATGCAAGTTTAGCGCAAAAACGCACGATGGCACCGGCAAGCCCGGTGCTTTGCAACGTGGGTTACACTTGTATACATGTAAAAACGCATAATGATCAAGTTTGGTGCAAAAATTCATGCAGCCCCACGATGCAACACCGCTATCCCAACCGACGTTTTTTTACCCGCTGTATGCAGAAAAAGGCAAAAACGCAGTCAACATAAGTCGAGATGTTAAACCACAGTGCATAAACCGTATCTGCTGTTAACGATGTGGGTGCTGCAAATTCAGTGCAAAAGCGCTTGTTCGCACCGGCAAACCCCATGCCCGGTAGCTACTAAAACTCGGCTCGGCTTGGTACGGCTCGGTTCGGTTCGGCTAGCCCTCGGTTGCCTCGCCCGCACCTCGGCCGCCTCGGCTCGCCTCGACCGGTCCCTGGCAACGGCACAAATTACCGTTTTATCGTCAGCGTAGAGTGGGGGGGAGCGGGATGAGGAGATGGGGGGACAGGCAAGGGGAGGGGAAAGAGGCGGAGGGGGAGAACGCTGGCAGGGGGGCGGGGGAGGTAACGGCAATGGGGACGGATGGGGGAAACGGAAATGAAGGGAAGCGGAGTCGGAGACATTGGGGAAGGGATGCTAGGGTGAGTTGACTGGGAGCGTGGTGTGGCCACTTAGGGAAGAGGGGTGATGAGCGGGTGGGAGAAGGATCCGTGTGCTAATTTTGCCGCATATGCGCGGGGTATGGAAAGTGCTCAGAAGGGGGGAGGGAGGTATGCTGCAGAAAATGCAGAAGTTTGAGGGGGGAACTGGCAATGCATGAGCACACTTTTGGTGTTGGATTCGAGACACGAGGAGGGGGTTGTGATAGGCGGTGGGGAGAGAGGGATGGTATGTGCGGGTTCCGCGCACAGAGACTCGAGGCAGGGGGGACGGGTCAGGTGAGTACACTGAGTAGCTACGTGATGTAGATCTTTTGACAGTTACCTAGGCCACTTAAGGGAGAGGGAAAAGGGTGATGGATTGAAAGGAGGAAAACAAGGAAAAAGTACCAGGAAGAAAGGAAGTAAAAGCAACAAGAAAGTACCAGCAAGGAAGAAAGTAAAAGAAAGAAAAAAGTACAAGCAATAAAGAAAATAAAAGCAAGAAAAGCAAACGGAAAACCCGCCATACGTAAGGGGCGTCCCCACTCATAAATCTGATGTTTAGGCAAAGAAAGCTGAGCGCCAGTAAGGTGAACCTGATGCTTAGGTAAATTCGCGAGATCTCGGTTTTACCTAGGCATCATCAGTTTGATCCCTCAGCTTTGCCTAAACATCAGCAAATAGATCCCTGAGCTTTACCTAAGCATCAAATTCATAAACGGGAAAGCCCTTTGCTGATAAAGCCTCATTACTTATGAAGCTGATGCTTAGGCAAACCTTTCGTATGAAGCTGATGCTTAGGTAAAGCTGAGAGATCAGACTGCTGATGGTTTTGTTAAGCTTCCGTATTGATGAAGTTGACGCTTAGGTAAAGCTCGGGGATCCGTTTGCTGACGCTTAGGTAAAGCTTCCGTGTTTATGAAGGTGATGCTTGGGTAAAGCTGAGATCTCGCGACTTTACCTAGGGATCAGTTTCACCTTACTGGAGCTCAGCTTTTTTGCCTAAGCATCAGATTTTTGAGTGGGGGCGTCCCCTATGTATGGCGGGTTTTCCGTTGCTTTTTTTACTTTTATTTTCTTTATTGCTTGTACTTTTTTCTTTCTTTTACTTTCTTCCTTGCTGGTACTTTCTTCTTGGTTTTATTCCTTTTCTTCCTGGTACTTTTTCCTTGTTCTCCTTCTTTCAATCCATCACCCTTTTCCCTCTTTCTTAAGTGGCCTAGGTAACCGCCAAAAGACCTACATCACATAGCTATTCCTTGTACTCACCAGGCCTCGAGTCTCTGTGCTCGAAACCCGCACGTACCATTCCCCTCTCCCCACCGCCTATCACAACCTCCTCCCCGCGTCTCGGGCCCAGCACCCGAAAGTGTGCTCATGCATTGCCAGTCCCCC